ACTCTAAGTCGAGGGATCCTGAGCCTTCGCTGGAGCTGAGGCTGAGGGGGACAGGATTTGTCTCAATGGGGGAACCCGGCAAAGCGGATTGCGATAGGGATTCCAGCTGAGCAGTGAGGGGAAGTGAGAGAAGAAAGTTATCTTCCTCACTTGCTACCCAGGGAATGATAAAGTCAGTATGCCGGGCAAAGCGGGGCCGCTCTACAGAAGGAAATATAACAAATGTCTGTGCCAGTCCGGGGATGATGATCAGGCTGTGCGGGTATGGGGCAAGTGTGTCATCAGTTGTGTGTAAGCAGTCCAGACTTAACCAGGCTGTACTCTGACAGCCTGCAACCGAGTCAAATTGTTCCCCTTGCAGAAGGTAGGGAAACTCATGCCAAACAAGGTCCCCACTCGCTGCTGGCAGGTAATCTCTGTAGATATGATCAGAGAGCTCCCTGAGTCGAAGGGTCACAACACCATCCTAGTCATGGTGGACCGCCTCTCCAAGTGCATCCATGCAGTCCCCAGTCACCACAGTAGACTCAGCAGGGATTGCCTGACTCTTCCTCAAACACATCTGGAAATATCATGGACTCCCCAAGGAGATTCTCAGCGACAGAGGGAGCGCCTTTGTCTCTCAGTTCTCCAAAGAGCTAGCAGCCCTAGAGCATGCAGTGGAGGAGATGGCCCGCTACTATGACCAAAATCGAGAAGTGGCGCCTGAGTACAAAGAAGGCGATCAAGTCTGGCTCAGTACCCAAAACTACACCATGGACTGCCCAATCAAGAAGCTAGATCACAAATGGACGGACCCCTTTAAAGTCCTCAAGGTTCTATCCCCTGCCATGGTCAAACTCCAGCTCACAGCACAGCAAAAGGGAGTCCACCCAGTGGTGTCAGTGACAAACATCCGGCCCTACTGCCCAGATGTGATCACTGAACGACTTGCCAACCCCTGCCCAGGCCCCGAAATCGTAGATGGAGGAGAAGAGTACGAGGTCGAGAAGGTCCTCGACTCCTGCTGGCGCCACAGAAAGCTCTGGTATTTGGTGAAGTTCACAGGTTGGCCAAACTCCGAGAATGAGTGGCTCCCCTGTGACAACCTGGCCAATGCATGCCATCGGATCGAGGAGTTCCACAGAGTGCACCCAGGCGCCCCAAGCAGGGAGTGAGAGAACCCCCTAGCCACTTCAAGGCAAAGCGGCTTAAGGGGGGGTGATGTCAGGGCACACCGCTCTGCTCAGTGCCACTTCCCACCTCTCTTCCCTTCTCTTCCTTTCCTTCCTCCTTTCTTTCCTCATATGGACGACTTCCTTTCTTACACTTGTAGCATGGACACATCTGGTGCCGAGTACCCCACATGGTGCCGCGCTGCTGGATGCACCACACATCTCTACTTGTACCTCCTTTCCTTAAACACTTGGGATCACCCGCGGAGCCACCCATGATAGCACAGCTCTGTCCAAGGCTGACATGGCACCTTCACATGACCTGCTCCTGCTTGTATATAAACTGAGCCAAAGCAGAACCGAAGAAGTAACCTTCTTCTCATTCCTGCTTCAGGCAAGTACCTTAGTTTAGCTTTCCATTCTAATGACAACATTCCTGCTTCAGTCTAAGAAGTCAGAACAGGGACACGAGCCCGAGTGAGGGCTGCCTGCTATACATTCCTGTCACTCCGCCACCACCCGGGCCACTAGCACCGCAGGCTACACCGCTACCCCCACCTCTCCTGTGCTTCCCTGACACCAACCTGGCACTTCGACTCGGTACCACCTTTGCCCTGCATCCTTCTCATCCCTTGCTTTCCACCACAAGGAGGTGTTGGAGCAGTCTCCAAAGTGCTGGTGCCTTGGACTCAAATAGCAGCCTCAGTATGCTGGTTTTCCCCACTTTGAGCTGTGCTGGATGGAGTTTGGAGGCATTCATGTGGAGTCCATTCCCTTTTTCCATGAGTGCTTGTATCTCTTTGATGTAAACTGCTTGGGCACTTGTGAGAATCCAGTTTCTCACAACAGTGGCATCATGGAGATCTTCAGTAGTACTGAGGATATGGAGTTGCATTTCCCGCAATTTGTCTCCAAATTGCACAGAGGTCAAAATGATTGATAGGAATGATGTGAGGGTGAGTCCATTAGCTAGCATGTATTTAAATACAGTACATCTTCTACACGATCTGCAGGTGTGTTCATGGTGTGAAAGGTGGTGGAGGGACAAGGGGACACGGCAAGGATGCCTTTCTGAGATCGAAGTGTTATTTCCGGATGTTACTGAGAACACTGCCACTGCCAAATTGTGCCAGTTGTTGGAGCAAAGTGTTGCATTCGTTTTTCGGAGTAGGTGATCGGGTTTGATTGCCTTATTTCCATACCATGTGACCGGAACTTGTGATATCCCAATGTGACTACTTTAGTATTGAATAAAAGTACTTAGTAACAAAAAAGCTCAGATTTTGTGCATCCACGGAGCAACAACAAACTGGGTAAGAGTCTGCATTGAAGTCATCAAAATTTCCGGGTCACTGATATCCCAAAAACTCGTGTCCAAAGTATTTTGCATTTTTCTCAATAACTTGCTTGTCAATTTAGTCTCAAATTATATATTCTGGAGCTATTTGAAGGGGCTGTCCAACTATGCAAAGTGTGTTGACACTGTGGGAAACAGTCTGGACACCCCTCCAGACAGTGCACAGACATAAGGTGGACAGCCACACTAACCCAAAGACTCGTGTCCAAAAAAGTATTTTGCATTTTTCTCGATGATTTATTGGTCAATTCAGTCTCAAAATATATATTCTGGAAGCTATTCAAAGGGGCTATCCATCTGCATAGAGTGCATTGAGACCATGGGAAACAGTGCTGACACCCCTTCAGACAGTGGCCAGCATTGTGCACAGACATTGAGTTGGACAGCCACACTAACCTAATCACTCGCATCCAAAAAAGTATTTTGTGTTTTTCTTGATAATTTATTGGTCAATTCAGTCTCAAAATATATATTCTGGAAGCTATTCAAAGGGGCTATCTATCTGTGTAAAGTGTGTTGGGGCTGTGGGAAACAGTGCTGACACCCCTTCAGACAGTTTGTGCACAGACATTAAGTTGGACAGCTACCATCAAAAGACTTGCATCCAAAAAAGTATTTTGCATTTTTCTCAATAATTTATTGGTCAATTCAGTCTCAAAATATATATTCTGGAAGCTTGAATAAGTGGCTATTCAACTATGTAAAGTGTGTTCAGACCGTGGGAAACAGTCTTGACATCCCTCCGCTTGTTTCCTTGATGGCCGTACACGGCCGTCCTTCTCCCACACCCTTTTGTTTGTTTTCGTTTCTTCTTAACCCCGCCTGCAATCTCCATGAGATCTGGCGACTTAATTCCATTATTCCGTTATACTTAAATACCGCTTGTACACTACCTCGTACTTTAGTTCTAAAATCAACTAGGGTTACCCCCTGCACCCTCTGTCTGACCCAGTCGCACCTCCTGTCTCCTGAAATATCGGGGCCACGTCAAGTACAAGGCGCAACGCTCACGAACGAGTCGTTGAAGCCGAAACCCTGTTCTGCCACGATTGTCGTCCCCGCCCTTGACGGGCTGTTACGCCGAAGTAGCGGACCTTAACGGTCGCCGACGGCGAGCCACGGTAACGTTTTCCCATGCCCTGACACTCCAGTCGTATAAGTTATGCTGGACGCCGTAATTTTTCTCCCTCCCTCAGTTCTCCATTACGAGACTGAGCACTGAGAAAAAAAATTCCATGAGAAAATCCTCCACGAAGTAGGATTAAAGTCCCACTGAGAAGCAGGATTTTGTCTAAATTTTCCATGTTAGACAAATCCTGCTGCCATACATGATTGTGACCAGAATCATGTTGAAAAGTCCTGCTGAATAACAGGGAATAATCCTTTTATCGTGTAATTATCCGTGATGATATCATAGGGAATCATGCTCTGGGGCAGGTCAAATCTTGTTTAATGACAGCTTATGTCCGACTGGATGAAGGATTATATATTGACTAGTCAACACAATGGTATGGGACAATATGACTAGAGAACCACAAAAACATAATGAAACGACAATTGTTGTCACAGTGTCAGGAACTTGAACAGCGAAAAAGCTTTTGAAGTGAACAACGGGAGGCCGGAAGTGCCATGAGTGCTGTTGGAGAAAAGGATAGAGGTGGGGGTTCGGTGCGACATATTATACTGTGCCTAGCACCGTTACTAGTGAGATGTTAAGCACCCACATGTTGGATTATGCGTTATGTTACCATTCAGGCAACAGCACAGTGCTAGTGCGCAACATCCCAAACACCTGACACTGCCTTCCCAATTGGATTGTGCACCAATCACCTTGTAGCATGGCTTTGATGTACTATAAAAGACACCATAGTTAAATGCAACAATAGTCAGCTTTGGTACTTACCTTAGTCCCTTGGTATCACACGAGTGCAGCCGCTGATCGCCAGTCTACTCATAACAACAGTGTGCGGTAAAGATGTAATGCCTTGCAATTTTTTGCCGATGCCCTAGTACTGGTGACAGGTTTTGAGGTCGAAGCGACAAGTTGGGGAAACTTGATGATTTGATAGTATGAGAAGGCTTACACACATTATGGTCATTCTATCTCAGAGCTGCATGACATTGGAATTGGCCCTGGATGTGTTTCTTTCGTGCTGTGTGACTCTAGTCGGTTGTTGAAGATAAAACAACAGTCTTCATGTTTCCTTACATGGGTTAACTTCCGCCAGAAGCTCTACCAATATTATGAAGATGACACAGTCATGACATGAATGTGAACCACACATAAGTGCATTGTTCCAAGAGAAAGGGCACACCTTCACATGCCGCTTCTAGCCTCCCCTGCCCCCAATCAATTCCTCATTTCTGGCTAGATTTGTCAGGGCACAGCCCTTGACCCCACTCACCCTCAGACACCCTCACCCTTTCCCTAACCACCCTCTCCCCACATTTCCCCATTCCCCCTATCCTTCCCCCCACTGTTTCACACAATGACACATGTGCGCGAACCCGTGGGAACGTTCTGGGCGAGCGACTCGCCCAGAAATGTACAGCCACAACTGTGGGAACATTCTGGGCAAGCAGCTCGCCCAGAACTTTCCCACGGGTCACACCTGTTATGGAAAGTCGGCAGCAAGCGGGAACTGTATAGTTCCTAGGGTCCTTTTGTGTCGGCCTCACAGGGGGCTGAGAAGCTTACCCTTCTTCTCAGCTCATTCCCTGTGAAGGCAAGTGTACTTACCCGCTTTTCAATGAATACCAGCTCATTCCCTGTGAAGGCTGAGGCTAGTCCCCTCAGCGACTTCGAGGAGTTAGCAGCTGGGGAGAGTACCCCAGCTTCCACACCCGGCCTCGCCCTCTGGCCACTCCCAGCTGGGGTCCGGATCCTGACAAGATTGAGGCATGGTGAGTGAGTTGTATCACGGAGTGTGAGATTGGGACAGACTCGGACCCAGTCAGTTCTGACAAGATAAACAAGCATAAACAGAATGGCTGGGTACGAGCCTGAGATTGGGATTGAAATTAACCTGAGGGCCAACATAAACAGGGCCAAACAGATCGACACAATGCATTGAAGTGCTGCATGCCCAACTCCCTCAGTTGCAACATCCCCATTACTAATGGGTCTCTGCTACTCTGTGTCCAGCAGTTGCATCTGTTAATAGGTCCAAACTAAGGGCTCCATCACTCCTATGGACCACAGCTTCTCGGGAATGCCACAGCTCGTAGATGCCCACTGGCATCTTTGTGATTTTGTGGCAAGCAAGATGGGGCTTCTTTGTGCGGTCCCTTTGCATTGATGTGGATGGTGTCAGAGACCAGGTCAAGATGAAGGAGTGTCTCTGTGATGGAGGGCTTCGGCCTCAGCGACTTATGCCAGGAGCGCTGTGCCTAGTAAACACGTCCATGCCCTAACTTACTAACTGGCCACCAGAACTGAAGAGGGTAAACTCTAGTCGATTTTATTACTGGAGTGTAACCTATGTACAAGTTAAGTATATATAGTTACAGCGAGGGTGGGTCCGCAAATGGCAGAGCCGAGTGGAGCGGAGCTAACAGGGTTAGACATTAGCCGATTGAATATTACCGACGAGTCAGGTTACGGGGTTAGCGGAAAGGCAGGCGATAACCCAGAAACGGAAAGGAGGGATAGGCCCGAAGGTGGGCTTTGCAGGGCAAGCAAGTGTATTGTCCAGCGGAGGTGGGAGTGCGCTAGCGGTGTAGGAGAAATAATATTCAAAGAATAAAACAATGATCTATCAGAATAGTCAACGAACAGGTGACAAGTTCAGACGTTTAACAGATCTCATGATCTTTATGAGACTGGACAGACATTAGATCATTATAAATTATCTACACCCATGTAGTATGAGATTTAATCTACTACAATCATGCCTAGAACTTGGCATAGGTGTAATATTCAAAGAATATAACCCTACAACAAGAAAATAGCACATAGATGGCAGAATAAGAAGGAACATTGGGAAAGAAATGTAAATATCTCGGGAACCAGTAAACTTTTGACTGTAATCTTTTTACCATCTGAAAGGACTGTTTCTTAACTTTATCCACGGTTTTGTTTCATTCTAAAAGCTTCAAAACTGACGGATATATGGCTCAAACGGCGAAACACCTTATAATGCATATATACTTATTTGCTAATTCTTACAAAAAGTAATGTGACTCAAGGGAAATATATTGGCGCCCGGAAGTCTGGCGGACCGAATACCATATGATAGAGTATTCCCCGGCGCGGGCGGACAGTTTTTGATCGCATCAGAAGAGGAGAAAATGCTAAAAAACCGGATCTTGTATATTTTCCCATGATTCATCAAAACTTTTTGATTCTAAGCTCAAATAAATCGGAACAAAGGAATGATTGATGATATGGATCTCGGATCATAAGCATAAAGTGATTCAGAAGTCCGCGGATCAGTTAATTAATTGGGAAGGCTCTAGAACATTAGTAATGATGTGGCTTCACAAAAAGGGGTCAATTAGAGAACAGTCTAGAAAGTTCCTTTATAGCCGAGTCATTTCTAAAGATAACCGTTCGTAATTAAGGCGGTGTAGAGCATAGCTTCAGCGCTACAAGATCCCGCTAAGATCGGCCCAACAGACAAAGAAATGAATTACTTATTGCTGAGTCATGTCCTAAGTCCATTATTAAGCTTACACAGCCCAAGCCCCTATATCATTCTAGAACTATCTATAATACAAATGTAGCACATGTAACTAGTGCGAGGCGTGGGAGTAGAGAGGCCTCTGAAAAGCATAAAAGGCCGCCGCTTCTGCCCCCTCTCAAACCTCAGGTAGAAATAAAAGTTTAATTCTCCTCACCAGTGGTTGGTTCATTTGCTCCAAAAGATAAAAGCAAATATTAGTTGTTAGCTAATATAAAACTAACACGTCACTCTAAGCGTGAGTTAGGGTCAGTTAGACACAGCTGAACAAAAGTGTCATAGTGAGAATTAGTGAGAATTTGGTGGAGGGACTTCTTAATTGAATAATCTCTCAGCAATTTTTGGTTATCACACCACAGGAGAAAAGTGAGCGATCCTGAACCTGCTAGATAACTAGCACGCACTCTAAGCGATAGAAAGAGCAGTTTGGTCACTCCTGTATTGAGTAACATTTATTGCGGAATTATTCTATTAGCAGTTTTCCTTCAGTAAATTATCAGGAAAATCACATCCTACTGAAAAGTGGTAAATATAGGTGTAATATTGACTAGAAATCATAGTAAAGTCAATATAGAATTTTATCCGTAGACGATCTATACGTCAGGTGAGATCGTTGGGGGGTGTTTATTGTTGTTTAGACAGTGAACAATCATATATTTGGCAACCAAAACATGGTCAGTACGCAAATCAGCACAAAACTCTAATATCGTTATTGGACGTAGGAAACTGGTTACATAAGGTGATCCAGCTCCGCTCCTTCAGCGGACGTCGGAGCTGTCCGGAAGCCTTCGGGGCTCCGTACTTAGGGAGGCATAGGTAATAAATTGAAAGGAGGGGGTGGTGACCATCGAGGGGTACTGAGGGAGTTGCGGAATACGGGAGCTCCGAGGTTAGTGTCAGGGACTCGTCCGGGGTCGAGGGGGTCCGGGTATAGCGTCCGGGACCGAGAGCCTGGCGGGGGGCAGATCGGGCGTGCGTACTGACAGGCCCGATGTGGGACAGCGGTCCCTGGCCACTTAGACTGAAGTGGAAAGTTGTTATTATTATTAAAGGAGAAATATTGTACTACTTACCTGAAGTGGAAAGTTGAGAAGAAGGCTACTTCTTCGGTTCCCACTTCAGGTTCGTTTATATACATGCGGCTTGGATCACATGACGGGTGCCACGTCACCCTCGCACACAGCTGTAACCACCCGGGTGTCTCTGTGGGAGATCCCGAGGGTATCCGGTGCAGGCGCGCGTGCTGGGCACAGCGGGAAGTCGCCCGAGGTGCCCGGGCCAGGTACATGGTGGGCGCGCTGCAGATGGGTCAGTTGTACATTGATACAGAGAAAGTCGTCCATGTAGAATAAAGAGAGAATAAAGGAGAAGTAAGATAAGGCGAAACTGAGGAGGGGAGGATGAGGGGGAAGAAGGGAAAGGGGGAGGAGGTAAGGAGGGGTGGACCGGCGGGGTACCGGGTCAGGTTGGGCCAGGTGGAGCCGGGTCAGGCGGGTGTGCCCTGACATCACCCCCCCCTTAAGCCGCTTCGCCTCGAAGCGGCCAGGTGGTTCTCCCTTTCTCTCCCTGGGGCTTGGGGGTGCGTCCTGTGAAATTCTTCGATTCGGTCGGGGGCATGGGTTAGGTGGTCCCGCTGGAGCCATTGGTTTTCAGAGTTCGGCCAGCCAGTGAACTTTACCAGATACCAGAGTTTCCGGTGTAGCCACTTAGAGTTCAGTATCTTCTCGACCTCATACTCTTCCTCTCCTTCTACCAGTTCCGGGCCTGGGCGTGGGTCAGCGGGTCTTTCTGCGATACCGTCCGGGAGGTGTGGCCTGACGTTCGTCACGGACACAACTGGGTGGATTCCCTTCTGTCGGGCGGTGAGCTGGAGCTTAACGGCGGCCAGGGAGATGACTTGGGTGATCTTAAAGGGGCCAAGCCACTTGTGGTCCAGTTTCTTAGTCGGGCGGTCGGTCGTGTAGTTGTAGGCATTGAGCCAGACTTGGTCGCCCTCTCGATACTTAGGGGCTGGGTCACGGTCCCGGTCGTAATATCGTGCCATCTCGTCCGCTGCGTGCTCTAGGGCTGCCTTTGCCTCTTCTTGCATTTTCATCATCCTTGACGAGAATGCATCGGCGGCTTCCACCTCGGATGTGCGCGTGGGTTCTGTCCCCATCCTGGGGTGTTGGCCGGTGTCGAGTTCAAAGGGGGTTCGGTGAGTGGAGGAGTGAACGCGGTTGTTGTAGGAGAATTCTGCTAGCGGGAGCCAGTCCGCCCAGTCGTCTTGGCGGTGGTTGACGAACACCCGGAGGTAGGCCTCGATCTCTTGGTTGACCCGCTCCGTCTGTCCATCCGTCTGGGGGTGGTAGGGCGTTGAAGGGGTCAGCTTGACACCTAGGAGGTCTGCCAGCTCCTTCGAGAAGCGGGAGACAAAGGCGCTCCCTCTATCGCTGAGGATCTCTTCCGGGAGCCCATGGTGTCTCCAGACATGCTCCAAGAAGAGTCGTGCGATACCCTCCGAGTCCACAGTCGTCACGGTGGGGACCGCGTGGATGCGTTTGGACAGCCGGTCTACTACGACCAGGATGGCATTATATCCTCTGGACTCTGGGAGCTCCCCTATCATGTCCACTGAGATGACCTGCCAACGATGGGTGGGGATCTTATTCGGGGTAAGTTTCCCAACCTTTCGTGAGGGGAAGGGTTTGACGCGATTGCAGGTGTCGCATCCGCGTACATATCGTCCGACATACTCAGCCATCCGGGGCCACCAGTAGTCACGGGAGACGAGTTCCAGGGTTTTCCATCGCCCTGGGTGCCCCGTCGCCCGTGAGTCGTGGTGTAGCCGTACCAGATCATGGCGGAGCTGGGGATCTTTTGGGACATACACCCTTCCCCAGTACAGGATCAGGTCACCCTGCTTCTCCCATTCGTCCGACCTTAACGTCCCTTCACCCAGTTCTCGCATGGCCTTCACTACCTTCTCATCATGGTCCCTTGCCTCACGTATCCTTCCCAGAATACCCGCCTCTTCACCTTCTACCGAAACTGCCTCTGTCGCGCGGGCTTCAAACCAGGCGGGTTGGAGAAGAGTTAGCCCCTCGTTGTCGTCTCTCCCCTTCGGGTGGTCAGCACGACGGGAGAGTGCGTCCGGCTTCCCCATGAGCTTCCCAGGACGGTGGACGAGGGTGAAGTGGAAGCGGGAGAGGAAGAGGGTCCATCTGGCTTGGCATCGATTCAGCCTTTGGGCCATCCGGAAATAGCTCAGGTTGCGGTGATCGGTGTAGATCTCAACCCTCTCTTCAACGCCTTCTAGGAAGTGCCGCCACTCTTCAAGGGCTCG